TTGATATTAACGTTTTTACAACGTGTATAATATCTGCCGTCATGTGTAGTGGCAGGTTACTGAAATTGTTCAGAATAAATACTAGGATGAACACCAAGAATATTATTAAACTCATAATGTCGTGCAGGATGTCGAGGAAAAATAAAATGGTTGCTTTAGAGGATAATCCATTTGCTGATCTCAGGTCAATTATGTTCACAAAAAATTTACATATCGATATCTGACAGGACTCGAATATGCTCAAGCTTTCGAAAAAGAGCCACAGGTACATGGTAGAATTTTTTAGCGAGTATTTGTAAAAGTATGTGAACAAGGTCAGGTTCGCCACTGACAGGAGACACATGAAGATGAACAGCTTCACCAGCACTCTGGTTCGGGGTACTCCCAATTCGAAAATCTGGCGGGGAAAAAAAAGTAATAAAAAAATGCGTCATAATGAGGCGAAATGTAAAGCAGATTCACCGCGGCTATGCTGCGTGACACGTCACCACACGCCGATGCACGTGCGGGCAGCTTCCTTACGTGAGAAACGCGGGAGTAAAGGACCAAGTGGTAAGCCTTCAAAATAACGATAATGGATAAGTACTTAATTAAAATAATGGAGGACACTTCTTTCCCGTTGATTGTTGGCTTAGACAGCACTAAAAATAAAATCGTGTCCATTATAAACGCCCGGGCGTTATCAATGAGCTGCTCCACCTCCAGGTATCTCAGCTCGCCAATAAATATGTTCAACAGGAGCTTGCACATTAGAATAAAAATCATTAAGAAAAAGTTGTAAATGATCTGCCAAGGGAAAAAAAAAAAAGACATTTTTTTTTATTTACTTTCTCTCTTTGCCGTTTATACACATGTAGGGGGTACGTCAGACGATACGTATTCAAAAGTGCCACTTCCATTCCGCACATATAACATACATGGCAGAGGTGTGCAGCTCTCACAAAAAGGGGGATCACACCCCCGAGAAGCAGGGGGGGAGGGGTATTTTCTTCCCTCGCGATGTGTTTTTTTTTTTTTTTCTTCCTTTCGCTTACCGTCCTGGGGAACTTTTCCGTCGACAGGTACACCACAGCAGAGTAGAACTCGTGGTACTTCATAAAGGAGTACATTAAAATGAAGGCCAGCCCGAGGTGGCTGAGGAAGATGTACAACCGCATGTTGACCTCCATGGTGTGAAGGGGCGGTGTGTGTTCGTTGGTAGGAAATGGAGGGAAAACACTCGCTTCTCGAAGGGACACGCCTCTCGCAACCTCTAGCAAGCGTGAATGTACAAAACGAACGAACGAACGAACGTGTGCCCCTCTGACGGTGACGCTCTTTTACCCACTCACATGAGTATGCCATACCATCTGACAGGCGGTCATCCCCCCCTAGCGCAAAGTTGAAGAATGGTCCCCCACCCAAGAAGATCAAAAAAAAAAAAAAAAAAAAAAAAAAA